GGGCAGCTTTGTGAACATTTACGGATCTAACTTGGGCTGCCATGATACATGATACATTATATTTGACAATAAAGATGAAATATCAAAGAAGTCAGGAACCTTGGTAACATTCTGGAATATTATTTCAAAAGCCATAACTAAATTAGCCTACTGCCATCCAAAACAGTACAAATCAGATCCTTTGTGCACAAACAAGGCCTAGAGAAGCGTATTCATGCATTCATGAGCAGCAGGGTAGATTACTGCAATAGACTTCTTACTGGCCTTGCCATGAGGACTATTAGACAGTTGCAGCTCATACAAAACACTGCTGCAGGCTCCTGACCAAAACCAAAAAACAAGCCATTAGTTCATTATATTGGCTGCCAGTTCCATTTCAGAATACTTTTAATTGTATGGAAATCCCATAATGGCTTTGGACCAAAATACCTTGCAGATATGCTGGTGAGACGGTGTTTAGCCGTTATGCTAACCACAGCTGGAAAAAGCTTCCAGAAGTTGTCAGGGGTAACCCAAATGTTGCTACTTTGATTATTTCCTATGTACCTTTTTATGACTACTATTTAAAAAAAAAAAAAAAAAATTTTCATGTAAAGAACTTAATTACCATTGTGTATGTCATGGTATATAAATAAACTTAATCTTGCCAACAGATTCCAGAATGGATGATTCATGAACCTTTAGTAGGACATTTAAAGAATAGTTCACTTGAAAATAAAATTCTGTCATCATGTTGCTTGAAACATTACATCATTGTGGCATTACATTATAAAAAGGTCACACAATTCTGCATTTTGAACATTTCGCTAAATAATTTATTTTGTTTTTCTTTCTTTTAAGCTATATGATGGTGAGTAGATGAATTGTTATTTTTGGATAAACTATTCCTTTAGGTATTTTGCCTAAGGTACAACTGTAATAGTTAATGAATCACATTATGTATGGTGTTTGAAACTATCCCATTAATCCCAGGTTTCTCCAGAGGGACTGTTCTTGGGATAAGTGTTGGCTAAATGAATAACCACAGTAATATTATATACTGCAGTAAACTCTTGTTGCAGTTGGTTGGCACAGAAAGTCTGTAGGGGAAAGAGCCATCCTGCATGAGCACATAATACTGTGCTGGCTGCTCAGGTCCATTTACAAGTACACTGTTGTAATCTCCAAAAGTGCTGGTTTCCCTTGTCATCCTGGACACCGTCCTGCCTTCTCTCACTGGGCAGAGGTGTTTGTGGAAGGGACTTTACATCCTTTCTTCAAAATTAATTTGATGTGTCATTAACAGAAAAAATTAATGTACCTAAGGTACAACTGTAATAGTTAATGAATCACATTATGTATGGTGTTTTGAAACTATCCCATTAATCCCAGGTTTCTCCAGAGGGACTGTTCTTGGGATAAGTGTTGGCTAAATGAATAACCAGAGTAATATTATATACTGCAGTAAACTCTTGTTGCAGTTGGTTGGCACAGAAAGTCTGTAGGGGAAAGAGCCATCCTGCATGAGCACATAATACTGTGCTGGCTGCTCAGGTCCATTTACAAGTACACTGTTGTAATCTCCAAAAGTGCTGGTTTCCCTTGTCATCCTGGACACCGTCCTGCCTTCTCTCACTGGGCAGAGGTGTTTGTGGAAGGGACTTTACATCCTTTCTTCAAAATTAATTTGATGTGTCATTAACAGAAAAAATTAATGTAATATTTAAAAAAAAGTTAATGACTCATTCATTGTATGACTCGAGTATATCACTCTTTCTTTGGGTCTTTGTCTCCCTCAGAAATTGTAATGTTATTTTCTGAGCGCTGCCATAATTGTTCCACCCAAGGTGAACAGAAATAAAAATATATGGGAGGTAATTATTATGAGGAAATTGCAGAATAACAGGATGTGTAACAGGAGTGAATCTGTGAAAAGTATGATTTTGCTTCAGTGTATGACTAAAATGACCGTCAATAGTCTCATCTTCTTCTATAAGCATATCACTCTGGTATCACATTTGTATTACAGTTAATCTTCTTTCAGTAATCCAGAAACATAGACACAGAAAGGGTAAACCTAAAATAAATTTATTGAGACAGGAGAGCGTACGCTCTCCTACTCTTCTTCCACCCTTTTCACAAGGCAGTTAAGAAATCATGCTAAGGCTATGGAAAGAAATGGAAATGACAGACATTTCTGCAGGGTCTGATGAGGGGACTTGTTGGAAATCAGATTCCTCTTCATGCAGACCACAAACGACCATCACAACCTGATTCAGAAGGTCCATTCAGTGCGACCTCTTTGTGCCAGTGCTGTGATAGACAACGTAACACACACACAAAAAACAAAAGGCCCGTTCTAGCAAATTTGGCCTCGACGAGCATCTCTTTTGGGACAAAGTCAAAACAAAATCAGTCACCTCCTACAGAGGTTGATACAAAGTGCAAAAACAAGCCAAAAATGAGAAATGCTTTCATACATAAAAGAGCAAAAACAATACCACATAAGAGGAAAAAGAAAAGGAACAGGCAAAAATGTTAACAGTGGAAGTAGGTTATAAATATACAAAGGCATCTTAGCCAAGACTGAATCCTTGGTGTGCTGAACAAGGAGACAGTAAATAAGCAGCACTGTTTCTCTTAAAGAGTCTCACTTACTCAGTGCTTGCTCAACATCCTGTGGACAGCATCACCTGTGCCAAAGTTTAGGGTTCAAGTCACAAGACGACATTTACACATGTACTAAAGACAGTCAAGTTGTCAAAAATATTAAACTGTAATGAAAGATGATACATCTGAATGTATGTATATATATATATTACACACTGTACATAGACCAGCATAATCGGTACAAAAGGACTTACAAGGATTTACAACCACCTTGTAAATATATATATATATATATATATATTCATATAAACAGAGATATGTACTCTGTGAAACATACCAGTTTGCATGAAAACTGATTTCCCCTCTTCATTACGTAAATATCATTACAGTGTCAGTGTTTCTTGACCTAACCATTTAAGCTTGTAAGTAGTACATCCTAACAGGCATGCCCCTAATGACAGCCCATGAGTTTCATGGAAATACAATAACCTCCCTCCCCAGGTCCCTATAGGTTTGCAGGAGGGAGTAACATTGAAGCAGCAATGACTGGAATATTAATGGAGAATGTCCCCTTCGGCCCTCGGGAGTGAAACCTTGGCTCGGACATCCTTTAGCCTCTTACAGAGATTTTGTTCTCCACCGCTGCCAGCATCGCACAGAAGCGCGAGTTTTCGTTCGCCAAGAGCTTGGACGGCTCGTCAAATTCCACCACCTGGGTCAAAAAAAAAAAAAGCTGCGAGTCAGTAAAACAGAGGAACCACAGAAAAAAAGGCTTCTTTACGTTTGAAGGAACCGTGGAGTAGAAACCTGCATTCCCGCGGGACCCGACGCAACAGAGTGCGGCACGGGACAAAACTTGATGGGCGAGTGAGTGCGAGTGCGGGTGGGTAGACACTTGTGTGTGTGCGGGATGTGGTATAATAAAATGATTCGCGGGACTCCGGCAAAATATTCATAGTATTACAGCCCTACTCTGTAATAAGTTCATGTTTTATCGATATCCTAAATGATCGTTTTCACGTGACGTCACACCCTTATAGGAACGTCCACCTGGAGGGTAAAACGAAGCTTTGCTCCACTGACCGCCAGTTATTTTTACGCAGTTTGCATTAAGTACTAATGTAGTAAAATGCAGATATTAAAAGGCGAAATTCAGTAAACACCTTATGGATTATGTATATTTTGTACAGGCAAGCAGATGAAGCCAGAATATAAACGTAATGTGCAAA